TATGTCTATATATTTAATTTCAGGAGGATCTCAGAGCTTCACTGATTCCATTAAAGGAAAAGCTGGAGAAATTTACAAAAATGAAACAAGAATTTGAGGAAAGAGCCAAACACATGAAGGTATGGAGATTTATTCTGAGGAAGTAAAACCTCACTGTACAGATTAACTTCAGACTAACACGGCATTTCTCACTTTCAGAGTCAGTCCCAGCAGACTGAGAAGAAGATAAAGGAGGAATTTCATGAACTCCATGAGTTCCTGAGAGAGGAAGAGGAGATCAGACTGGCTATACTGAGAGTGGAAAAGATGGAGAAGAGCGAGAGGATGAATGAGAAGATAGAGAACATCTCCAAACAGGTCTCCACCCTGTCAGAGAAGATCAGAGACATTGAGGAGGCCATGGGTGCTGAGGACATCTCCTTCCTTATGGTAGGAGCTTGATTTTCCTTCATTGTTCTGTGTGTTTGCTGGCTGGGACAGTCAGTCAGGAGTTAAAAAATCTTCATCAGCACAGGCATTTCATTCTTCATGCTGTGTGATGGTTTGTCATGGAAAATTATATATTTTTCATAAATACTTTTTTTCTCTCTTTTTCAGACCTTCAAGGAAACCAAAGAAAAGTATGTAATAGCTACTGCTTATCCAGTCATGTTTGAAATCAGCCGTAGGTAATCTCTGAATTTGTAGACCATAAGATGGGGACCGCCGGTCTACCTCTCTCTCTCTCTCTCTCTCTCTCTCTCTCTCTCTCTCTCTCTTTCATGCATAGTGCGAGAGAAAAAATGTATGTCTGTTTTATTCCTTACTAGTATTAGTATTTTTCACATAGGTTTTAGTAGTTTGGGGGGAATCTTTAGTTGTAAGTATCGGTAGTTTAGTGTTAGCAGGAGTGACTCATGTTAGTCGGCTAGATTGCATTTATATATGTTATTTGTTTTCATTCATTCATAGGGGTGTGTTCTTGCTCTTGCTCTGTTCAGTGCTGCAGTGATGATGCTGTGATCTTTGCAGTGTCAATGGAGGCTCTGATCACGGCTCTCGAGAGACTGAGCAAGGAGTTTGAGTGTTTGGGTTAGCAAGTGTCTTGGACCAAAACTAAGATCCTTATTTAATCTTTAATGACCTATTGGCCACAGCTGTCAGCAGTGTGTCTGTCTACAGAGAGAATGTCGACCTCGTCAAGAGGTTCACTTACCTCAGCAACAACATTCATGTCTCTGGTGACTCTTCCTGTGAAATCAACAAACGTATTGGGAAAGTGTGGGGGGTCATGGGGTCACTGGAAGGGGGTGTGTGGCGTTCCTGATATCTTTGCAAGCGGACGAAGGGCCAAGTCTTTAGAGTCATGTGAGACATGGACACTATCCAGTGAGCTGAGATGAAGAATGGACTCCTTCAGTACTGTGTCTCTTCAGAGAACCCTTGGGTACCACTGCTTTTGACTTTGTGTCGAATCCTTTGCTGGAGGAGTCCCGAATGAGGCTCATTACCTGCATTATGAGGGAGCGTCAGTTACTGCACTACAGCCATGTGACGCGTTTCCCTGAGGGTGATCCGGCTCACTGGATCTCGATCATTACTGAGGTCCCAAGCGGCTGGACCAGGCCAAGGGGGCGCCCACGTAACAGCTGGCTGCAGTGGATGGATGGTCATTTCCGGGATCCCGAGGTGTTCCGTCGTGGGGTGGGTGTGGCAACGCACTGTACCAGTGCATGCTGCCCGACATGACCCCCACCTGCCTGATTATTATTTATTTATTTATTTATGGCATGTGCTCCATTTTTCCTGGAAATAGAGTTTCGGTGAAGGGAGAGAAGGGGCTTTGTTATTGTGCTGTTGGGGTCCCGTGTCACTGTGACCCAGAGTAGGGTGGAGACTGAGCCGACGGCTAAGGCAGGGGAACCAATCAGAAATGTGTATGCTGATCGCGGATGTGTTAGGGGCGTGTTTCATTGTTAACCAATGAAATATGACTTCTGGATTAAGTAAGAGATAATGAAATAACTATAAGAAGTGTTGCGTAAATCATTTACCTGTAACCAGAGCTGCAATTCTCAGGATTAAGGGTAGAGTCTTTCTTTGATTGATAAATAAACAAAACAAAACAATAAAACTAAAGATGTACTGGTTTGCTTTTTCGTTCTGCTTTTAGTGACTATTTTGAATCTCAGGTATTTTCAGCTTCCACAAAAGCCAGTTGTGGGTTTTCAGTAATCGAATCAGCAGGAATTCTGGTCTGACTGCACTTACTCCCTAACCCACTGAATCACTGGAGATCTTGTTCTCTTACTGTTGCGTTTAATACTGTTATAACTCACTCATCTATCTACTTATTCTATTTGTCATATTCACTCCGGTAGTCTGACCATGCTGCAGACTCTCAGCCACCTTCCTCTGCAGTGTTTGACTCACTTCAGACCCCACAGCAGCACTGACTCCTGCCTGTCATTTTCTTTGCAGAGCCCAGTGCTCACTGCAGGACCCAGAGCTGGAGTCAGGGGTGCTGATAGATGTGGCCAAACACCTGGGCTCTCTGAAGTTCAGGGTCTGTGAGAACATGCTGGGGACACTGCAGTACAGTGAGTACTGGGTGAAATGGCTGTATAAAGCAGAGAGCAGTATCTGAGTGGGTTATACTGTCACTCACTGGGAGCTCAGCCTAGCAGCACTGGTACACTGAGTACTGGGGGAAATGGCTGTGTAAAGCAGAGAGCAGTATCTGAATGGGTTATGCTGTCACTCACTGGGAGCTCAGCCTAGCAGCACTGGTACAGTGAGTACTGGGGGAAATGGCTGTGTAAAGCAGAGAGCAGTATC